CAAATTTGTTTTTGGAATGGATGAATTAAGAACATTCTGTTCCAATGGCAAATGTAAATTAATTGGACTTTTAACATTGAAAAAGTGAATGCCTGTCTGTCTGCAGGTATCTTACCAGAAGCAATTCTACAAAATGAAGTAGCCCTGCTTAGTTACCTTTTCTACCAAAGGACAGAAAGCTTTTTAACACAAGAGACTTCTTCCTGGCAGATTGGCACTAGGGCCCCAGCGTGTTTCTGGTTTTCTATTTGCAGTCATTGTTATTAAAATGTTCTCAATTTAAACAATTGACTTTTAAATTTCTTCCAGGAAACTGAGAACAATTTCTCATGCACATTTCTCTTTTTGTCACAGTCCTTGTGACAGAATCATCTGTCCCAGAACTCATTTGTGTGTGGCACTGAACATGTAGCAGCTTGCTAAAATATTTCATTATGACGTCATTAGTAAAATCATTGTAAAAACTAAGAATTGGCTAATTGGAAAGAGGAGTGTAGTTGGAGGCAGGCAGGATGGCATGTTTAGTGAGATGGAGTCTACTTTTAGAAAATGATTTTTTGAGAGCTCTTATAAAATCACATGCTTGTCATTGGGATCCACTGAGTGTGCAGTGGCTTTCTGGGCACAAAAAATAAACCACTGTCACTTTGTGCGTCACTCAGCCACTCAGATGGAGGTCTGAGAGGAGCTCTTCAGCTTTCTCCCATGCCTGTGCGGCCTGCCCTTTCGCTGCATGGTGTTAGGATGAGGTCCTTGAGAAACAGAGGGTGGCCAGGGCTTAGGTGTCATGGGTTCTTAAGCGAGCACCTTCAGAGGGGCAAGGAGGGAGGGAATCCTAACTTGAGAAGGCCGGGTGGAGAGAAAATATGCTGGTAGGTGCAGGTGAGCCTTGAACCTTGGCTTGCTTCACAGCAGGGATGCTCCAGGGCATAAATGGCAGTGCTGTCCACAGAGGCAGAAGGGCTCTGCTTCCACACCCCTTCTCAGTCCTCTTGGGCCGCGGCCGGCCTTGTGGAGGAAGGTGAGGACGTGCTTGTCCTGGGGAGATGCTCTGTGGGAGGAGGCCTTGGGTGACTACACCTGAACCACAGTGAAGACCACCATGCAAGCTTCTTATCTTTGCAGATGGGATCTTTAAAATAAGTGTATTTTGTATACTTTTGAGGGCAGCAGCCTGTCTCACCCCTTTCAAAATGACCCTCCTATTTTTAAGGCCTTCATTAGGCTGAATCAGAAAGAAGGCCACTTACTGTTCAGCTCTCCACCTACAAAAACATTTGCTTCAGCAGTTTAAAGTAGTTTAATCTTTATCTCATTAATTTAATTTGTTTACTTTTTACTTCTTTTCCTTAGCCCATGCAACAGAAGCCTAGTTTAGAATGTATTTGCACTGCCAGGGGCTCTCTTGTTTTGAAATATCAGGGTGAAAGCTTTCTCTGTGCTGTGATCTTTCTCAATGTGACCACCATTTTCCTCCTTTCACTGAAATATGAACATAAAATTCTTTCAGATTGCTGAATTTCTTGAAACTTATTCTCGTATGATTGATAAATGCAGGGCTGACATTTCCTGTGCCTCTAGCAAATAATGATGCCCACTTGGCTTCTGCTCTAAGGGCACCTGCTCTGAGGTTTAGGGGGCGGAAGATAAGTATCTTAAAGAGACACTTATGGGGCTCCCATTGGACTCTGAGCTCTGGGCTCTCAGAGCACAAGAAGTCAAATGTTGGAAAATCTTAAAATTTAAGGGTATATTTTTAGTGATATATGTTATGGTAGTGTTATCTTCTATTCATTGATTTTTAAAATTCAGTATATAATTTCTTTTTTATGACTTAAAATATATTTTCCTTGAATTCCAGTTTAAAGTCAGGGGATTGCTGTTTAAGTTTTATTTTGATAGGTATTAGAGAGATAAATCATTTTCCTCCTCTGGTATTTTGCTTCCTGTGACTTTTGTTTGTGTGTCTTTTGTTGGTTGCACGCGTTCTGATCTTCTTTTCCATCTTGTTTGCGTGTGTGCGGGCGTGCGCATGCGCTGAAAGTTGGTCCTGGGTCCCATGCGTTCTAAGCATGCGCTTTGGCCCTGAGCTTCACTCCCAGCCCTGATCTTGAATTTTTTATTCTGAGAAATTTCTCTTAATCAGGTCATTTAGGTGTATGACTTAGATTCTGTCACACTGTTTTATGCTTTCCGTAACTACTTATCTTTTCAGTTACCCATTGGAGATAGGTGGTTTTTATTACTGATTTAAAAGTTACTCTGTTGTAGTCTGTCATAGTGAGTGCTCTTACGTTAGAGTCTGTATTCACACGTATGCACTTCAGTGTCTGGACCTCCTTTTAATGAGACAAGTACATTTTTTCCTTCCATCCCCTTCCATCATGTTGACGTGGTGTAAATGTTTATTTCTGCCATGTTATGCATATAATTTCTTTCTTTCTTTCTCATGGTGTCTCATTTCTATTTTTATCTGTATTGTTTTGCATCTTGGCAATAACACACTCAGAGTGATTTTTCATTCTTCCTGTATTTCTTGTAGCATCCTCTTGCATTTCTTTCTCTTCTTAATTAAATGCTTGATGCATGAAAGTTTTAAAAGACAGTCTTTATTTGTCCAATATTCTGAGTCCTTGCATGTTTGGTAATATATTTGATGGTGTCACCTTTGGATGACTTTTTAATAGTTTATAAAGTTTAGGTGACATCTTAGACAAGCATGGTAATTCTATGAACATTTTGTCCTCATTTGCCCAAAGTCTTGCAATCTGGAACTGCTGAAATCTCCTGGCAGTGGAGAGTTTTTAAACAGGCTTCTCAGTAATCACTAACTACTTCACTTGTTGTATGGTTTGAGTTTGACTAAAGGACTACCTTGGTTATGATTTCATGAGCCTAGCAAAAAGGAAGTAAAACAAGAAGACAGATTTTTTTTTTTTTCCAGAAGGGAGATCGTAGGTGTCTGAGATCCCTCAAAAATGAGTGTGGTGAGGGCACATTAGAGCCAGGAAGACGGTATGCAGGAAAAAGAGGGTGTGTGTCCACCTAGAAAGATATAGAGGACGTGGTCAAAGTGTTAAGAAAAGCTTATATATTTTTGAAGTACAGTTCATAGCAATCCACAGAGGGGATAAAGATGCAGAAAAGGGGTGCAAGGATACTAAGGGATAGACAGCACCTTGAAGTGAACAGCTTTATTGGTAGACACACAGTACCCAGCTCCTCTGCCTGCTGGCCTTTCACACAGCCTCTCCCTGCCCGGCCCTGAGTGGCCCTGGGGGGGGGGTGCTAGCAGAGAGCAGAGCGGGCTGGGAGCAGTCTATGCAGAGCGATGGGCCACGCTGGATCCTATCATGCTTGTACCTCTCCCTCTTCTTAAACGCTTTTCCAAATCCTAGAATTGCAGCAGCTCAAAGCTGTTGGCACGGGGCTGGGATCTGGGAGCGATTTCCTTCACTCTCGGGGTGACTGGCTGCCAGGGTAGATGAGCTGGGATGGTAACAAAGCAGAGCCAGGAACAGAAGAATACTGATGAAGTTCAGAATCTTCACACAGAGGCATTGATTTACTGTCATCACTCGGTCGCTGGGTTGGGTCTGTGGTCCTCGAGGATGAAATAAGAACTGAACCCACTTTTTTATAGTAAGTTTGCAGATCGCTGACTCCTGTCACAGAAAAAGAATTTTCAGGATGCATCAGTAGGAGGAACATGAGAAGGACTCATTGAGCGAAGACAGAGTGCACAAAACGCACTCCAGCAGAGCACGTGGAGAGGCAGAGGAAGACAGGTGACCTGGGATGTGTATTCGCTGAAGTAGAGGTGCGCGTGCCAGGTGCTGTTTGAAGCTGAGATCTATATGGAGATGAGACGCCCTGGTTGGTCATGCAGCTGCTTGCTGGGCTGGAGGAAAGAACAATTTGCGGGGAAAGGGCTTGGGTGTAGTGCCCAGGAATCCACAGATTCTTATACCAGGACCTCTAGGAGTTTAACACTGTTCTCTGTGAGGACCAAAGGAAGGAGGTCACAAGCTAGGTTGGCTTCCAGAAGTAGGGAGAAGAAGAAAACTTGTCTTGAAGCTGTAGTTTTTCTTAATAGTACAACTTTAAAATCTCAATTTCCTTATCTCCTTCCTGTCTATTATTTCTTGTATCCTACCTCAACACTGGAATAAAATGTAAAATGTGAACACTCTTTGTATTCTGTAGAAGATAAAAATAGAGAAGAGAGAGAAGGGAGGAAATCGTTTGTCAGTGTGATCTTTCATGGAGAAATAGATATTCATTTTATGATTTCACTAGAGCAGTGTGGTACTGAGAACAATGGCAAACGATGTTCCATCTTTGGTACTAAGCAGCAAAGTGTGCTTTACACAGAAAATGGGAACCGCAAATGTGCTTTCTGTCAATCCCAATTTCAGCATCTACAGCTTACTTTGAGTGCTAAGATGGTGTTGGAATATAAGTTCTGTTCCATTTTCATCACGTAAACTTTTCTGTGTACTAGGAAAAAGTTAGTGGTGTGACAAATCCCCCAGGGAGGTGGTTCTCACCTTCTGAAAGACACAGCTCATGATGAGAAATGTGAGTAACTGATGTGAGGTGGTATTTGTTTTCAGCAGGCTGAATGCAGAGCAGACAGCCAGAAATTCCATCATGATGTTTTTGAGTGTGTAGTCTATGCTCAGAGAAATCCTAACATGGCCTCCAATCTTAGAAAAAAAAAAAAAAGTCAGGAATAACAATAGTCCAATGTGCGAATTTTTGGTTATATCTCAGCAGATCTGTGACAAAGATCAGAGCAGAACGGTTATTTGTTTTCTTGCTGGTACCTAGGAATTTGGACTCCAGTACAATACACTAGTGATCTGCACTGGACGATGAGCATCCTGTGAGCTTACAAGAACGTGTTGTGATGAATATCGGTCACTGTGTGTCATCAAATGAGCATGTGGTAATACTTAGGGACTGCACAAAGGAATGCTGTGAAGCTTCACAATGTTTATAAAAGTCCATGTAAAGAATAAATGGCAGAAATGAAGACTATGTCAGATGATGTGCCCCGAGGAATTCATTTTCATCATCCAGTGAACAGAATGGGAGATTCCAAAGTGAAACAGTGTTTCTTTAGAGCCAGTGTCCTTTATCAACCAGTAGATTTTTGCTTAAGTATCAGAGCAGTTGTGAGCTGGCACAGCAGAAGAGGAACTGGGACTCACATGCTCAGTCCTGGAGTTTAAAGAGCAGGAAACCGAAGCTGACGTGCAAAGTGACTTTCTGGGTCACACGAATTATGGGATAGACACATTTGTAAACCTCTGGGAACCACCATCTATACATTCGGTTCCTTTACATCCTAAAAATAAATGTTTACACAAGTATTTACACAAATAGTCATATTTTCCTACTCTTTTCAGATGTCTGGATTAAACCTTTAAGGCATAGCCAAGTCCCTCTGATAGGAGTGGCATGTGTTTGTTAGTGAAACCAAATTTTTCCTCGTAGTGCATGCCATACATAAGTCTCAGTAAAAAAAAAAAAAAAACCCTCAGCCCACTGCTCACATTTTATTGCAGGGTACTGCATGGAGCCTTCAGCAGCAAAATCAACCAGCCTCTGTTTATGCATAAGCGAGAGGCTCTAATGAGCCCTGTCATCAAGCAGCGTGCAGCCTTTCTGGGAAATGAGAAAACTCCTGTGTCACAGTGTTGGTTCATCTAATGAGTACTTTCAAGAGCTTCTGCCTTTGGGTCTAAAGTGGAGCCAACACCCTGGAACCCTGGCCTGGCTTCGGTGATGCACCATACTGGCTCCCTGATTCCGCTCATGTTTGCAGAATCTTGTCCCTACCTTCCAATCAGCTTCATAATCATTGCTTCTTAGCAACTGATTTTGTAGTACTCTTCACACTCCCTCATCTTGCTAGGTCATTTATTTACTTACTTATTTACATTTTTGGTACTGAGAATTGTACCCAGAGCCTTTGCCCTGAGCTACATCCTTAGGCAGCTTTTTTTTTTTTTTTTTTTTGATTTTGAGAAGGGGTCATGTCAACTTGCCCAAGCTGGGTTAAAGCTTGTGATCCTCCTGCCTTAGGTTTCCCAGAGTAATTTAACATTTTGTACTTCAGCTTCTTGGAAAGCTTTTCCTTCATCTTGCTAGACAAGGTCAGATCTATCAGTGATGAATCCTCATAACACTCAGTGCGTCTATTTCCTAGCACATTGTTTTGTGCATGCATCTGTATATTCCTGATTACTGGTTAGTATCTGTCACACCCATTAGAATTGTGGTCTTCAAGGGTAGGAACACTATTCATAGTTGTGTTCTTCACATCGGGCCATGTGTGTGGACCATTAGCAGGACCATAATAAATAGACCTCTGAAGAATTGTTTAGTCACACAACTGCGACACGACTTATCTGAGTACAGCATTTTGTGTATAAGCAATGCAAGGTGTGAACAGGTAAATGCCTGAAGCATATCAATCAATTCCATCTGTTCACGCAAAGATAAAGTGTTAGGTGCGCAGAGTTAGGTGGGTCCCTGTCTGCTCCTACAGTGTTAGAATCTGAAATTCACAGGACAGCCTCAGCATTTCCCTGTGCATGATGATATGTTGTAGATCAGGGAATAAAATCTCCTATCCAAAATGAGAAGAGCAAAGCAGCTGTATAAACTTCAGCATGGTAACAGATGACCTTTGGCTTCCTCCTAGGGGGAGCAGTGAGGACTTTGTTAGCATGGAGACCCCCAGCCTCCTATAAAAGGGGCAGGCTGCTCTCAGAGGTACATGACCACAGACCTCATGCGGTAAGACCTGGGGAGCCCAAGAGAAGCTAGAAATAGGACCCTGCATGCAGAAGCTGGGGCTTCAACACTGCCAACTGAGTTCAGTTCTTTTGCAAACAAAAGAAGTAGGAGCATAAAACAGAACACACTTGTGTGATTGTTCTACTTGAAGGATTTCAAGCTTAAAAAGTCTCATATAAAAAGACTTTAAAATGTTCCTTTAAAGTGCAATAAACAATTCCTAATTCTCTATTAACTTGACATTTCTCTAAACGTCTTTAATTTTTCAAGTCAGAAACCCTCTTTCTTTTTCTAAATATTTCATTTTCTCTCTCTCTCTCTCTCTCTCTCTCTCTCTCTCTCTCTCTCTCTCTGTCTCTCTCTCTCCAGTCCTCGTGCATGTCTCCTCGGCTGAGTGTGTGGGTCCTATGAAGAAACCTAAAGAAAAGGGACCCACATAAATCCGATTTCTAACAACTTCCAGGCTCCTCATGACACCATCTTACCTACGCACAACATAGTACTTCACGCATGTATTGCTACAGTGATTTTTATGGCTATTTTTAGGATTGTTAGGAACTCAAGGAGTTGGAATTCTAAGTGGAGAGACCGAAGTGGGAGGTGCAGGGCGTTCACAGCAGATGTGGCCGAGCAGAGCAGCATCCTAGAGAGGTGCTCCCTGACTGACGTGTGCTCCCTGACTGATGTGTGTTCCCGTGATGATTTTAAAGTGTTAGACCTTGCTGCGACTCTTCCTCAGGTTCTCAGATTGGCTGTCAAGAAAATCTGCTTCATCTTTAGGGCAGAAGTGTTTCACAGACACCAGAGCTCTACATTCCACGTCTCTTACACACTCAGCCTTGACTGGCTTCACACTCCGAGTGCTTTCTTTGCATCAGTGGTGGGATTCTCCTTTCTCCAGCTGGCTGGAGGGGATGGCGTCTCTTCAGTTAACATTCATGAGAAAATTCTATCCTGGTAACAAACACCTCACAAGACTTTGTGTGAATTTGGTGGCTGTTGTGTTCAGCAATACAATAAAAATCTACTGAACGGTTTTTTAAAATGCCACCTGCTGATTATCTAATAGAAATTATTGGGCAAAGGTCTAATTCATTTGTTACACAGTATATAAGACTGGATTTTCCATGGAGAACAAAATGTGTTTTACCTCAGTTCTCCTAAACTTTTTATTCCATTCATCAATGTATGACGGATTGTGTACTAATGAGAAAACCAGTTAATTTTCAGGGCTTTTTCTACTTGGTGCAAAATAGTAATTTGTTCTCCAGTGTAGTCACCACCAAGTTCACAGGCGTGGGTGTCTCTTTGCTGTTCAGGATTTTCCTCCTCTCTGGGTAGCAAGCTATTCGCTTATGTAAAACTGATTGTAATGTTTTACTGTTATTCTCTCCATTATTCTGACTGTGGCAGGATTTTCTTACGGCATCCTTTGTTCTCTTCACTTGGTAACTCTACTCCTAATGCATTGCAAAACCTCTGTATTTAGCATGCCCCAGTGATTTCAGATTCAACATCATTTCTTTTTTCTTTTTTTGGTACCGGTGATCAGACTCGTGACCTTGCACTTTCCAGGCAGGTGCTTGAGCTAAACCCCCCAGTCCTCAACATACTTTCTTTCCAGCACTTCCCGGTTTTCCTCTCCTGATTACTGTGCTTGCATCAGAGGGCAAGAATGACCCCAAAAAGTGAGTCTGGTCTGTTCCTTGGACGGCGTTCTCTTAGGCATTCTTTCTTTTCCTCCTTCCACCCTCCCCTGTGAATTACATAATCTCTTCTACTTTCCCATCAGTAGTTTGTCCATCAGCCACAGTGGCTTTTTGCACTGAAAATCTGATCTTGCTCATTATCAGAGTCAGTGACTCCTTGCAGTTGGAGACTCCAACTCTGAGGCCCGTGGCTGACATCTGCCCATCCTGCTGGTCTCCCCCTGTCCCTGCAGCGCCCCAGCTGCCCCTGCCTCATGCCTTCCATCCTCATCCATCCTCTTTTATTCTTCTCATGTTTCAGTTAGCTTAAGAGTAGCAAAAAGTCAAACCTACTGTGTTAAAAGCTCTTAAATAGGAGAAAGCATTCCAAGCCAAATAGGAATAATTGGGAGCTTAAAGATTTGTTAAAATCAATCACTTTCTGCTCTCTTTTGTCGATTAGGATAATCAACACATAGTTTTTGAAATTCAAGATTTTAAATAAATGGTTTAAAATCATTTTATACTTATGTTGGAAAGAAGGCACATAATAATAAAAGTAGACATTATGTAATTATTCAGTGACTAATTCAGTTCCAGTTAAGTATTTTTACGGGTTTTACTGACATTTAGAAATAGCAGGATAATTCTTTTTAAGATTAAGAAATTAAAAGAATAAAAATGTGAGATTCTGCCAACTCTGATGATTCAGATAAATACCGTGCCACTTCGCTATTAAAGACTGCTGTGTCTGGGACCCATGACTTGAGTTTGACATTTAAAGCAGTACAGAGTCTGATCCTACCTAAGCCATGCCTAGGTTTTCAGGAGATTACTGTGAACAGGAGAAAGGGGGCACTTTCTGGGGCTTCCTGGAGTGCTATTTAGGTTCCTAGTTGACTCTGCTTCCATTTAAAGTAATGGTATCAGCTGGCTGAAGGAGTCCTGATACGGTGATAACAGAGGATTTTACAGAGTATGAGAGCTGAGATTCAGTGAAGCTGTAACTTTAAATAAAAGCAGGCTCCATTACAGAAAGTCTGGGAACGTCAGGAGGGACCGTCCAGAGCCTAAGTGACCATTGCTGGAGTCTTCTTGTGGCCCAATCAAAACTGCTGGCCTCACTGAAATTGCTCCGGTGCAGGACCCTGTTGAAAGAGAATGGGGTCTAGCATTTCTGAAGCCCTAATTTTCCCAAGGCAGTAGCGGAAATAAAGAATATTCTCACCAATCTGGCCCAAAGTAGGAGCAAAGAGAAAAAGGGGAAAAGATTTCATAATAAAGCATTGCTCTCCCCATCTCTTTGTTTCTTGGTCTGTCTCTTTCCTGCTGATTGATGGCTTCATTTTTTGTTGGTGGATTTATATGCACATGTATTGCTCAGAAGACCCACGCAGAATTCCCACATAGAAAAAGCCTCCTCCCCATTAGATGTCAGTCACTGTATTGTAAGTTACATTATAATAATAACATTGTGCAGTGAGATGGCATATTTATGATGTCCCTGTGCATGACATTATTAATATCTGTGAGGTTGCTTGTACTTTACATTCCTAATGTTATGCCTTCTGTAGATGGAGCTCTGTTTACAATGGGTCTGCATAGGATTTGCTGGTTTTCCTCTGAATTTTTTAGTAAGAGGCCAATGTGTGGAGGAGGAGCATACATTTAACTTGGTTTACTGTCTGTGAAGTCTGTCGGTATGTCTGGCCACTCATTAAATGAATGTTTAGTGACGGTGTATGCTATCCAGTAAGCCCCGAGAGAGTGTAGAATGTCACGATGTGGATAGCGTCTGACTTTATGCTTAGAGTACTCACTGTAGCCTAAATAGCCTCCTCTGTGTGTCTTAGGGACAGTTAAATCTTGATATTTACAGTTGGTAGCGTCTATTCTCTGCAATAATATACTTTATGCATTATCTAATTACCTATTTAAATGAAATTTACATATTTATTTCTCCTCGTTTCCGACCTGATCCATCTGGCCGTCTTTCTGTGAAGCTGGGTCATCCATTGGTGGCTATTCCTGAACATGAAACTCTTGATTCCAAAGAGGTAAATGCTGGATACAACTGGAGATCTAGTTCCACATTCCCATGTGAGGCTGTTGAAATAAGCCAATCTTATTTTTAATGTTAAAAAGAAAATTATGCCTGTCCCCTCTCCCCTCCCCCTTCTTTCCTTCTATCTGTGTCAGGCTATGTTTCCAGTCCTTTTTTTTTAAATTTAATTTTGGATGACAGAATCTTGCTCACTTGCCTAGTCTGATCTCAATCCTGTCCTGCTGCCTTGGCCTCCTGGGTGATGGGGATTACAGCTAATGTGCCCCAGGCACAGGGGTTTTTGAAAAGCCTCCTTTTCACTTCACGAATGCTATAGTACACAAAGAAAAAACACTCTCTGCAGTATCTAAGTTTGTGTTCAACAATCCAAAGAACAACTGAGCAATATTTTCTGCTTCTCCATCATTCAGACAAAATAGAATATTCAAGGGAAAAAGCGAAGGTTGAAGGACGTGTCTTTAGACACACAGTGGGTAGCTCGTACATCCACCTTAGATGGGGTCACACAGGAAGTATGTGTAACACTGAATCTGCAAATTTAGACAAAGCAAGCACAAAGCAAAGAGAAGTGGAGATAATAAAATTCAGATAGCCCTGGCTTTTCCTTTTCAAGGCACATTCTGCACGACTGAGGATAGATTATACACTCTTTGTAAACTCATTTCCGTATTTCTGTGCACTTAGAAGTGTCCATCATACGAAACCAATGTGGCTTTCCATGTGACATTAGTCTAAACTATGAAGGTATATTGTGAATGTGTGCACTTTAATACCCACTTTGTCTATGTAAAGTCCTAAAGCTAGGACTAGTGATTCTGAGTGTGTACATACGGTAGACTCACAGACACACTGTGGCCCTAAAAAAACCACAGGAGTCCCCCGCTGGGCACTACTGTACTTCCTGCCTCTGTGTGTTCTCCCACGTGGGGGATTAGTACAGCTGTTGGTGTATTGAGAACTTGTAAGATGTTAGAAATAGTATTATGTACTTAATCTTCACAGTAATTTTCTAAATATGATGACCTTTGCACAGACATTTAGACAGGCAAATTTACAGAAAACTCTTAGCTACAGTAGATAGATATCCTTGAATGCCCAAGCTCCAGACAGTTAGGACTGTGATTTGGGGCAAACTCCTTCTAACTATCTGACTTCACACCATAGACAGATTTCCCTTAGCCTCAGTTTCCTCATCTGTAAAACCAGAATAGTAAAAATACTGCATTTGAAATGTTCTTGTGAAGAACTGTATTCTCACTACTCTGGGAGACTGAGGCAGGAGTATCAAAGTTTGAGACCAATATGGGCTGCGTAGGGTGACCCTGTCTCAAAATAAATGTATAATAAGGGCTGGACGATAGCCCAGTGCAAAGGCCCTGGGTTTATCCCTAGCACCAACATGGAAAAAAGAGGACATTATTTTTTATTTTAATTTGCAGTTTAAAAATTCTGTATTTTCTTTTGTTTTTGTCTTTATTTTTATCTATTTTGTTTTTGTATCATGTTATGCATTTATCCACTAAAATGGTAATATTTTTAATAGAGTAGTAAGTTTCCTGTATGATGATTTTTTACTGAGTACTAAACTCTATATTAAAGCTATTCACACTTTCTCAAACGTGCTACCTCTTTGGCAAGTTATATAAAAGTGGAAAAAATTGGCAGATACGTATCCCAAAATAAGAAAATGGTTGAACACTTGTTGGACCTGTGAAAACACCTCTTTTCAGATGAATATAAAAATAATAATCAAATGTGTTTATTTTAAACAACAATTTCGGTTAAGTTTGTAGGCTATGTCTATACAATAGCAGTGCTTTTACAGAATAAGAGAAAATCGGTTGTTATTTAAATAACAAAACCTTTCAGCTCAGATGATAAATGCTGAATGGAGGAACTTCTGAATGTTAAGAGATACAAAAAACTTCTTGTTTACCTGAGAGAATAAGGTAGATGTAGAATTCAGGTTTTTTTCACATTATTGAAACCTTGTAGACAAAACTTAAAATTAAGTGAATGGATAATACTGCCAGAAAATGATTTTCAATCTGTCTGGAATATATGAAAAATGCTGGATAAAAGGAGCTAAAGTTTACATTTGTGATAGACAGGAACTGTTAGTATTACAAAAAAAAAAAAAAAAAAAAAAAAAAATTCCAGGAGGGCTTTTTAAAAATTCTTTTGCCATGCTCTGTTTTATTTCTTAGTAAAACTGGCACATTTTGAAGCAATTTACAACCTTGTGCAACTCACTTTGACACACGATCAAACTAGAATGCTGACCTTTATGTTCCAAATCCTTTCCCCTTATGCACGCTACAAAACTTCACCCAAGAAAAAGATACCTTTCCTGGAAGAGTGATTCTGCTCTTATGGTGTACGATGTAGCGGACTGAATCGTCCCCCTAGTGGCTGTGCACATGGAGAGCTGTGAAGAGCCGCGGCTGGCGCTCAGAATTTCTCCCTTGGTTTTTCTTTCATTTTCTAGCAGTTTGCCTTCTTTACTATCAAGGTCTCATTTCTTGCATCCAGCGATGTGATTTGTGGATAATCAGCTTTTAAAATCAACTCAATCCACTTAAATACAAATAGATGTTAGGTTTACCTAGTGTGACTCATCGCTCTTATAGCTCTCATGATTTTTAAAGAAATAGCTCAAAGGAGCAGTTTTATTTCCCACCTCGTTCAGGGTTTGCCCCACTAGTGGAGCCTTGGCAGACTGTGAAGACACCCAGGAGGTTCAGTGTGGCTCACCTGAATGTATACTTCTTCCCCTGGCTGTTTAGGGTCAATAAAGTCAGCTGTTTAACCTTTTTGTTTTTTAAGAAAGAAAGAAAGGGAGAGCAAGAGGCTCATTCACAAATTTGTTATCGCGAACACTTTCAGTTGCTAAATATTTGGGTCACGCATTCCTGCCCAGTGGCATAAATTCACAGCATGTACTTTAACTTGTGTTATGTTAATTTTGAGAAATCTGTTGATATCACTTTAATCACAAATCTAACTCTTCTGGTTTTCCTTGGCATCCTACACAAAGATTGGGAGCAGCCGGGGCTGACACACAGCATTTATGCAAACTGTCCAGGACTTAGCACATTCCAAGCAATGCTTTAGTTTTATTTTTACAACACATGCAAAAATTCTGGCAGCCTCATGTGGATAGATGTGCTCCTGAATGACTGATCTGGCCCCTGTGTCTGCTCACTGGGCAATTTTGAAAGAACGTTGCTTTCTTAGACTTCCCTTGTTCACACCAATGCAGTGCTGTCTAAATAGGTGACCATTCAATGCCACTCAAGACTAGTGTATTTCCTGCCTCAGAAAGATTACTTTTGACTTGAGTTACTTAGAAAAAAATGAAATGCAATTCATAACAATGATTTCTGATTCAATGTACCATGTCTCGTGAGTTCAGCATGGACGTGGTTCTTTGATCTACAACTGCTCTGAAACATCCTTCTCTTTTACAGGCTGAGTTCTAAAAGTCATAGTAGAGAGTGAGATACAAACACCTCTTCCAATCACCTGCTGCCTGAAGCCCAGGACTATATTCTTTTCAACATGAAGGTCAATTAATTTCCAAAAACAGGATCAGATGCATTTGATTCTGATCTCTCAGATTTACTTGTTATTAACACGACTAGCTGCTGATAAAACACATACCTGGCAGATTGTTCTCTGGTTTTCTTACTCCTTATCTTTGCAGATTTTGATAAATATTTAAGGGTGATCATGATTACAATTCAGACAGGAAGGTGACTGTGAATTACCACCAGACTATGACTTATTTGCCACTTTGTGGTATATAAGGTTTTCCCATTCACTTTATTTTGAATTTCAGAACCTCTGCTTATGTCTAAGGTTTTTATAAAATAAGTCTATTTCTCTTCCTGCATTCTTTAGATGAACATAGAGAAACTCAGCAACTTGTTCAGGGAGCCACCCTCGCACTCTGGTTTAATTCAAAGGTGAAGATGCAGTTATCAAGAAGACTAGACTCACTCACTTTATTTTCTTGGGGAAGTTTCCAAAAAATATGATTTCTCAGAATAGCGGCTTAGTAAATCATGTTGCTGAGTTCAAAGTCTTGATCTCAGGCAAGAACTTGGAATCTGGATTATTGCCTGATGATTAGAAGAAAGTTCACATACTTTAACAAGACAACTGACCAAAGGACCAGAAAAATTTCTTACAAAAATAAATCCACTTAATGCAGGCAACTCAAGAAATAGCCATTTTTTCCAGGCATCTAGATGGCTCCAGATTTGACAAAAAATGGACCATCAAAATGATTTTTCTGTCATTTATTCTTGTCCTGTGTCTCTAGCCTGTTTTGGAGAAATACAGAAATAATAATAATCATTAAAAGCTAATATATGAAGCATTTTATAATTCACTAAGCAGGAAACCAGACTGTGATGTATATTATAAGAATCTAAGGGGTTGTAAATATAGGAAGAACACTCACTCTCCACAAAACCGAAATGACATGATCCATTGTACACATATATAATGATAAAATAATTCAGTTCAGTCTCAACTAAGAGGAAATGCTTTACCACTTAAAGGACAACTTCACCTGATAATTTGACTTTTACACACAGCAAAACAAACCCTGTTCTTGGAGCCAGAGGTAGTTTAACAACTTAGACCTAGGTACCAGCCAGATTTAGTGGTCTCACCTTGCTTGGGATGAGGAGACAGGGAGACTGTGTTCTTTAGGTGTTAAGGTTCCAAGGGTGTGCCCCCAGCTCCGGCCCCCAGTACGGGGCTGGCAATCAGGGTCTGCACAATGACCTACACTCCCAGCCATTTAAGTGGGCTTCTTTGTTTTGTTTTGCAACTTGGTCTCACTAAGTGGCTAAGTTGCTTAGACTGTGCTCAAACTTGTGATTGCCAGGCTCCCAGAAGATGGTTCACAGCCCTTGGGAAAGACTTTCCTGGGTTTTACAAAAGGACCAATCCAGTTTTTTCTACTCCCCTGTCCCTGCCTTCTGTTCCCCTCCCTTCCTTCCTCCCTTCCCCTTTCCTTCCTTCCTTCCTTCCTTCCTGCCTTCCTGCCTTCCTGCCTTCCTGCCTTCCTGCCTTCCTGCCTTCCTGCCTTCCTCCGCCCTCCCTGTTTTCTTCTCTCCTTCCCCTTCCCCCCTTCCCCCTTCCCTCCTGTCCCCCCTCTTCCCCTTAGCTTCCTCCCCCCTCCCTCCTTCCCTTCCTACCTTCCTTCCGTCCTTATTTCTGGTGATTGAATCCAGGGCATTTGCGCAGAGCTACACCCTCAACCCCTTTTTAAATCTGGAGACACTGTCTTGTGAAACTGCTATGTTGCACAGGCTGAGCTCCAGCTTCCTCCTTTAGCCTGTCACCTGCCTGGTCCCATCTGGTTCTCTAAGGTTTTTATTGCCCCTTAAGGAAGGGAATAAAGTACTTAGAATGGCAAGTCTCCCAGAGAGAGGAAGAGGAGAGAACTTCATTTCATCTTCATTTCAACTTCATCCTGAAACTGAAAGATTCTGACTGAAAGCAACCACTAGAAAAAAGGAAACATGTCTTATTTTTCTCTTCTGGGAATTCAAGTTTACTACAGGCTAGATGGGAGTCTGACAATTGCAGTTTCTCCTTGAAATTCATCTCAGTAGGTTCAAGTTAGAGTTGGTATTTAGTAAGTACTAACACTGAGCAATCATTAGACATAGACGGACTTACAAGCCCTCTGTCTGGAGCCTTCAGAAGACGATTTCTAGACTTTTCAACTGAAAATGAGTGGTTAGAGGGAAGTTACTAACTCTTTGAAACTCAGGTCTTCTACAAAGGGGTGGCTCTGACTCCGGACGCAATGGTGCGCGATCCGGGGGTCACACACCTCCAGTTCTGTCATGCTGCCTTTACAGCATGTTAGCTACTGAGCATTTTATACATAATCAACTCAATAAATTCCAGTGCCTGACCTATGTTTTTATATCAAAATTAATAGTTACACACGAGACAAATACATTTAAAATCTTTCAGAGTAAAGCATTGCTAATGGTATGATATATATAATTACTCCATTGTATGAAAAGCACTCTGTGCATTCATTAGGTGATGGGCATTTGGAGCACTATGGGCAATGGAGTACTATATATATATATATATATATATATATATATGTATATATATATATATATGTATATATATATGGCTTTTTGCTGTGGGTATATGGCATCTGGTGTGACGTTTGCAAGAACATAGCATGTATGTAAATGGTTTAGTTTTTCTTTGGTAGTAAAAACTCTGCATGTTTGATATTTTGTTAACCAGGAATGAAAAGCCAGTTCACACTGCACACTCCCATCAAGAATGCTTTTTGTGTGATTGGCTTAATATTTCACCGGCATGTACTCACTTATTAACCCAAGTTAATGCTAAACACCAAGAAGGATATTTGGAGTTTGACTCTTCAGAATTGTGACTTTTCTAAGTGTTTAAGTTTTTTCTTATTTGTGTTTCCTTAAAACCCACATAAATGACTTGTTCGGTTGGCATTGAAGTACTGGAGCCTGATGACTATCAGGGCTTGTTGACTTATTTCATGCTCTTCATCTTTGTTAATGGTTACCTTTGTTTCCTTCAAAGTATCTCTTTTTGTATTGTAATTGACGAAAGAAAATAAAGTCTTCATAAAATGTACAAATGATGACTTTACTTCTCATAGCATGATAAATAATCGCTACCCAGCTGCTCAGTCACGGTGCCAAGCACAACTTTGACCCACCCCACTGGCCCAGAGAGAGCTGAGAGTGGGGCTGAGTTTGCCAGCACCGTTGGTAGCCGAGGATGGGCTCCTTGCTCAGGTTCAGTGTGATTTAATTACTCAGACACCATAAAAATGCTATTTTTAAAGGGAACTCAGAGGGCATTAGTCCAATATTTTATTTAGCAGGCTAATCCTGTCTACCATGTATACACTCACACACGTCCTGCCTTAGTTTGTCTGAGGGCCAGAGAGAATTTAGCATCTCTCAAGCTAGATCCAGTATGCCCTCCTTTGGGTGACTAAGACAGCTGATCACTACACAAGCAATAAAACAGACAGAAAACACTGAATGAACTCAGGCTTAGTCGTCAGCATTGTAGGCTCTGTAGTCCTGTGTGCTGATTTCACTGCCTATAAAATGGAATTGGAGGCTATGATGCTGACCTGCGTGTATGCACAGTGCTAGTGCATCAGACATGGAGTCCTTCAGGGTTCCCCAAATGAGGACGATTTCCAGAAGTCTGCTGTCATGTTAACTACTATCTGTTGGTTCTTTCAGGAAAATGAAACGAACAGTATTTTTTATTGGTTAGAAAAGCGAAGCAGGAGATGTAACTCAGTTACTGCCTCTTTTTGTTCTAAAACTGCAGAGATCCCCAAACGATGATAATGACCTCTCATTTACTTCATGACTGATAATTTTCTGTGGCCAGAACGAGTCAGGGCAGGAATGGAGATGTGTCCTGGTTTTAGTGCAGTTTTTCCATCTCCTCTTCCTGGTTTAAAAATTAAGGACGTTTGTCCTGAACTGGGCATAATGCATTCCTGTTTCAAAGGCTGCCCTGCCTCATGGCCATGATGCTCTTGGGGTTCCTCCTGTCTGGCTTCCTGCAGATGGACCAATTCCCCTGTGCAGCCAGCTCCCGGGCACAGGCCTACTGGACCACCCCATCTTCCTCTAAGACCTTTCCCAGTAGAAGGCAGAGATGCCCATGCAAAAGGCACTCATATTCTGGAACATCCCATCATTAGCCACGGACTGACACCTATCCATAAAAGTGTGGGCCATTCCTCCTCCAGGGTGTGCTATGACAGTGTTCCATCAGAGCTGTGTTTTAGAAATAAGTTCTCTTCTCAACTTAAATCTGATGCTTTCTTTGATACTTTTAAAAAATAGTTTGACTTCATAATTTCAAATACCCATCTGCAGTCCATTAAGTTGACCTTACCTGTTCCAGACAGTCCAACCCTATCAAATAGGAGCACACAGAGACTACATGAATAAAGAAATAAAGGAGAATAGAGAATAAAAGATCTCTCCCTTACCACATGGCATCATTGTAAAGCCGAAAAACAAAAAACAAAACAAAACAAAAAAATCAACGCATCGACACAAAGCATGCTGTTCTTTGGTCTCTGTCTTTTGGAATGTTCCAGTTTGCAAATGTGGGGATTTAATCCAATTCCCGTTCACTTTCCATCCTTGTTTGAGATGTTACATCTCAGGGAATGATGTAGTCTCTGCTCAAGGAAAGGTAAGGCAATAGTCGTGTAGCTAAAGATGAGGGCTGTGGGTGGTATGCGAAATATTGTTTAAAACTGCACCCGTCTCCCCAAACTCTCATGGCCCTTGGCAGGAGGGCAGACTTGCTCTGCAAGTTCCTAAGAGATCAGAATGGGATATGCAGGAATATATCATGGTTTTAATTCTGCTATTAATAAAAAAACAAAAATGCAGCTAAAACTAAGAATTTTTCTTGATATAAACTATTTCTTATATGAGACACTATGCCCGCATATGAATGTATAAACTGCAGTTTCATTTATTTCTCAGGGGATTCATCTCCATCAACCTGTTGTTTTTTCTTATTTTGCAGCAGTGAAGTTGGAGAAGACATGAAAGCTGGCTGCTGAAGTGTTTTTGAAATGCTGGTGCTAATCACTTGGTAGATTTAACTTTTATTTTTTTCGGAATGAGTGCTGCTTTTATGAACTGCAGGGAAACAAAGGGACTGAAAAACGTTTCCTGCAGCATAAAGCATTACAGCACTCCACTAAACCCAGCACAGGAGAGATTTACCTACAGCTTCTCACTCCACTGTCCAAGCCTTTCACGCCTTCTGTTACGCTGACAGCAATACTAACGTGCCCCTGCCTTCAGCAGCCAAATAAAGAAGATCCGTGGGTACACATGAGAATGGCTGTGAGTGTTTGTCAAAACTGCCTTTATTTAATGCACATATTGCTAAGGGAATCAGCCTTCATTTCTTGTCTCCCTTGCATGCTAAGAAAGAAGTTACTTTTTAAGAGTTTCTCCTAGCTGTCAGTGTGCATGAGGCCTTAGGGATGCACTGGGGAAGCTTGAGAATAGGACAGCTCTGGTGTTGTGCAGACACAGGCTACTTCTCTGCGACTTTGGGCTTCTGGACAGCTGGGATGGGCCATGTAGCAGGGACATCCCGGGCAGTGACCTTAACGTTGCCTGCCGCATTGGCCACGTCCCTGTTGTCTCCCCATAGTCATTCCCAACAGTCAGTCTCAGTCTCCTCTGGTGACTGTCTTCTGCCCATCTGGGACCACACTTTCTGGAGAGGAACTCACAGCAGCCCTGAGCAGAGATCCCTGGTAGTACATCAGTCTCTGTGAATTTGAATCTGCTGCCTTTGCATAAGGCCCCGGTTCCCTGTGGAGCCAGCTCTGAGCTGGGGCTCCCTCATATGCTGGTTTCAGCACCTCAGTTATCCCATTCAGGAGATCTGTCAGAAGAGCTGCTGGGCTCCTTCATCGTCCAGAATGGGTTTTGCACTGTTCCATTATCAGCCATCGTGTGGCACCTGGAAAACCAATGTACCCTTCATCTTCTCCACTGATGTTAGGAAGCAAAAGAGCCTCAGCAGGACTCCCTGGTCATTTCTCTTCCTTCAAGCACCTACTGTGTCTCCTCCAACCTGCTAAATTGTTTGGAGAATCCCCTTACATCACCAGAAAGGATCTCTAACATCCATTGTGCATTCGTTTCGTTCTGCGCCAGACACCCCAGCAAGTGCTGTGGGTGAATTTAACTTGACCTTCCCGGTGATTTTGTGAGGTGGGTCCTACTATCATCCCTAGTGTAAATTTGTTAATTTACAAAACAGTCTTCCCAGTGATTAAAACATGCTAGTAAAGGGCAAAAGCAGAATTGGAACACGGGTAATCTAAGACTGATCATCTGCCCATCCATTCACTGGTTCACACTCTTCATTCAAATTCTTGCGAGTTTATCCCACTCTCAGCTCATGGCCGATGTTGAGTAAAGCCCCTCTTGTGCATATGTGTTGCGTGATGATTATTTTTATTAGAATTTCTATCCTCCTTTCTCCTGCTGTCCACATATATTCTCATATGTTTAATACTTATCTTTTGCTTATATTTATTTTAAAGACATGCATTAATTTTGTCTACATACATTTATCTAATAAATGGATTGTGCGTGTTTCTCACTCAGTGCTGTGTGTTTAAAGCACCATCCCCATTGCATCCCAGGACACTGTTTCCTCACACTGCAGTCTTCTCACGTTTCACTACCCTCCATCCCAGCCTCAGGCGACCAGGTTTTCTCCCTATCCATGAAGCGGTATGGTGCATATCTCTATGTGTGTGTGTTCTTATACGCCTGTGTGAATCTCTGTTAGAATTTCTCTGAAACATATATCTAGAAATTCTTGCTCCTCAAATGTGCGTGTATTTAATTTCATTGACTCCTCCTCCACCGCTGTCTAGAACAGGCAACCTATTCTTTTTTTTTTTTTCAATTTTGAAAGTAGTAAAAATGCAACAGCACAAGACAGAACAAAGCCAATCGAGACAATGCAGTGAAATTGGTACGGGATTTCACAGCAGGATACTGGGATACTAGTAATAGGTACTATGGTATATCTGCTTAACTTCACAATAGTCATCCAGTCAATTAGGTATAGCAAAATAAAACCAAACACAGAACATTATAAAACCAATTGAGAATACTGAATAGAGCAAAAGAAACATAACAAAACAGTGAAAACAACCTTTGCCTTCAAACAGAAGATAGAAGGAAATCCCCCATATTTGCTATACTGCATATGGTCATCCTCCCAAGAAATGCTGAGACATCAATCCCTAGTAGCTATGGGGGAAGGAGGCAGGTGGGGAAGGGTGCTTAATTTTCAGCCCACGTGGCAGTAGGCTCACAGGTAATGGTTCTTCTCCATGCTGCAGGCACTTACCAAGAGGACA